GAAACTAGTAGAGCTTTTCTCAGTATATTCACGTGAGTAACCCGCGAATTTACTTAATTTAGTATGTCTCACGATAGTTTGGGACATCTTTACTGAAGAAACAGTTAGGCAATGAGGTTCCAACTTACAGCCTGATTACCTAACGCGTATCACGTTAAACGTTACATCTTCCAGGAGCAAAGTTCATCTGTAATTTTATTAGCTACATCTAATCGTGAAAGATGTTTATCTCCTACTTAATGTGCTGTGGGAATGTGCATATATTTAGTGATCACGACATCTACTGTGTCATAAAGAAAAGTATGTGTGTCATATTTTTAGGTCTCTGAGTTGTGCTTTAAAATAAGTTACGAATAGTATTTATTTTTTAATTCTGTCTGAACTTAACTTAGTGGATTTTGATCAACGCATCGTGTGCCGGAACGCAGATCCACGCGAGACTATTATAATTATCTATTGTGTCTTATATACCGGCAGTCAAGAGGTTAATATTGAAAAAAAAAGATGATATTTTTAACATTTCAACGGATTAATGTTTATCACAACCAGCCCTTTGACGTAAGTACGTCATGAAATTGACACTGACATTCGACTAATTATGTCAAAACTTGTGTCAAGTGCATACATTGATTTGTCTACATGGAGTACGTAGTACTTATTTATTACTCATTCGACTGGCGTTTAAATGCTATTGGTCAAGTCAAGGAGGCAGATTTGTTTATAAATGTTTATTTAGAATAGTTATCTACTACAACAAATACTTAAGTAAAATACTTTTGCACTTCTCTATACTTAGACGCTTATAGTCAATTCTTATAGCTCGAATGAGCACAGCGAGAGAAAATGGATTAGCTATGACCTTTAGCCTCGAAGACGAAACTGGGTACCTACCTACCTACTTATGTTCGTGCATATTCTCACAAAGAACGGTGTCAGCATGATCATGCATGCGTTTGCTGTGTTTTAACACTTGCATGTCATACGATAATTAATTAATTCACACTATTCACACACCTACTTACTCATTCATTGCTATCATCACGCAAATATTGTTAATAAACAAGTTTTAAAATGTCATTTTTACATTACGGGCACATGAGAACATTTATGCATTTTCGTAATTGTAACTTTAATCTTAACCGTCTACAATAACTTATTTCGTTGTTTAAATGTAATAAATGAGTTCTCACAATTATAATAAATCTTTTCTACTATTCCTATAGGATGTCTTTGTCGTAATTGATCTCTTGCACCTAAATTCCTACCTACAACGAAGCCATTTCAAGAATGTCTTGCGTCTCGAGGACCACCGCGGTGGTCCCGGCGTGCGGTGGTTGAATGTACATACTGAAATAAGACTTGTTTAATCAAAAAAGTAATTATATTTAGCTTGTCGTATTTAATTCCACCAAGAAATCGATTATATTTTCACAATTCTACATTATTTATTTTAAGTAATGTGATTTTTTATCTGATCGCCGTGACATTGCGGTATTCATGGGTTGCCAGAACCCATAATAAAAATATGGATATTATAATAGTAGTAAGTACGTACTACTTACATAGCAGATAAGATCTGCGATAGTGATATAATGATGTAAAACTGATATCTTTTTGTAACAAAGAGGCAAAAATAAGAAAAAAAGAAAGAAATATGGTTAGGTTATCTCTAAAAAATAAAAGATAGATATAAAAATGGAAAATAAATGCATTTAATTCGTTTAAGAATTGAAGAGAACTATCCAACAAAATTAAATATTTTCGATTTTTTTGTCCTTTTGCGATAGCTTTGATCTTCTATGATGTCAAATAAGGCTAATTTGGTAGGGCGATGTATACGCCCATAGACCACTGGGCGTATATAAATTATCCTATCATTATCTTCTCTTGTCTTCGTGAGATCTGTCCAATATCGAACCATGGTTTTTCTAGAAAATGCCGTCTGGATTACAAGGACTGCTGAAAAAACAAAGAAGTAAAAGTAGAACAAATTATACATAAAACATATTTTTATGTTACATAGTTTTAATGAGGTCTATACTACCAATCAAGTTTACGTTTGGTATACATAATGTAGACAGTTGTGGAAATAACAGATAATGATTAATGGTCACCAAGATTGAGGGATGTGTGCCAAATACCGTGTAACAAGTACCGTGTATAATGTGTTAGATTTGGGTGCTGACTCTTGAATCCAATTAGAAGGATCAGAAGGGGTAAAACAATTAATTTTCTCCCAAATAAATAAACAATTGGGGCAAGCTAAATAAAACTGTTAAATGTTAAGAATCTTGATGGATGACCGGCTAAGCATGTTGTTGTAGGCACTGCATGGAACACTATAACTGAGACAGACACTATCACTGCGGTATAGGTAGATTTTGCGGGTATCCAACCCTAAGTCATCAATAAACCCAAAGAGCCATCAGACCACCACAGATGGGGCCCAATAGGGCCGATGCCGATTCGGAGTCGCGGAGAACCTAACGGGTAACCGGGGCTCCGGCTCGACGTGCAGGAGAAGGAATGGGGTGGTTTTTAGTCAGTAAGAGTCTGACACTCCTTCCCGCCTCACCCAGGCGGGAGCAGTCATTCGATGATTTTCCCCCCTTAAAAAAAGAAAAAAAAAGTCATCAATTAGGCGATACAACGAACAACTGTTTTGTGAACCACAAATTGTAGTTTCGAACCTGGATATGATTGGTAGGTATGTGAATTGTATTCACTTACCTATGTAAACGCACTTACGATATACAAGAAAATCCTCAGAGTAAAGTTTATTTTAAAAAAGAAGAAAACAAAAAACGTACCTGTTATCAAAGCCCCTAGCCAGTGTGTGCTCTTCATGGCGCCGTTTTGCAAATACACAATGAAATTAAAAAAACAAAACGAACCGAAAAAATTAATTACTAAAGTTGAATTAAAAGTTGTGTTAGAAATAATTATGGATTTCGTGATAGGATTATATACTAATCCATTCGATGAGGCTGCTCGTATGTAAGGGATTAGTATGGACTATTGGCATATTTTATTTTATTTTATTTTATTTTATTAGGGCATATTAATAACAGAAACAAAAATAGAGAATTAACTGAAAATCGCGGGTTACTCACGTGAATATACTGAGAAAAGTTCTACTAGTTCCGAGCCACAGAGGAGGAGCGCACGCCTCTTGAGTAACCGTAAGTGAGGAAGAACCCCTCTTGAGTAACCCTCGTTTTTAGGTAATTTAGTATGTCTTACGATAGTTATTACAAAAATAGAGAGTTAAGAAATTGATAGAATAAACTAAATTATGTTAATGTATTTGCATTCTTCTTTTGTTGTGGCTTCTAAAACAAATTCTTTTGATACAAGTCTACATCATATAAACTCACCAATCTATAAGGAGGAGTAGACAAAAAGAGACTAATAATGATGATGATAAAAAAGCATTAACATCATTACATTTGTAAATATTAAAAAAAAATTGCAAAAAAATATTTAAATATTACTTATTTATTGATACTAGTTAATTGGGTAGTTTCCATGGTATCAAAATTGAAAATCCAATTAGTCCGTCAGTTAGATAATTAAAAAATATTACCTCTAGACACATATTTTTTATTTTGTCGTATTAAGTTGCAATACTTAGATAAAACGGCGTTAAGTTTAGGTGTGGGAGGTTGTTACGTCATAACGTGCTACAAAATGTGGCACGCTGTGACGTCACACGATATTTCAAGTTAATATATCGTCGGAAGTAATATATATAGTCAAGTTAGTATAAAAAATACGTGTCTAAAGTTTTAAATTAACCTACCAGACAAACATTAAAATAAAATTTAGGAAACTAGTAAAATAGGCTATTTTACTACCATACACAAAAATATTAAGCCTTGAATTTTTTTCTAAAGTTATTTCTGTCTCCCAGGAATGTTCTTTCTCGCAAACTGACGGGCTGTCCGTAGCCTGTTAAAGGTCGGTTCATACGTCTCATGTCAAGTCGGATTTTCTTTTTTATATTTTGAAACTTCTTGTTATTCATTGGATCATCATCGATTTCATCAAAGGAGATTGCCTGATTAAGTTTAATTAGAGTTGCTGGAAACATAAATTTTATTATTAATCGTAAATGTATAACATTTCGGCACTTTCTAAGATATATCTGGTATCTTAATAATCTTAGCCCACGATGCAGGTGCCTCTGGTGATCCGGGTGTTCATCGGCGACGTCTATTACTTACTATCAGGTAATTTGTCTGCTCGTTCATCGGCTTACCTCATAAAAAAGTCCTGTTACATAAACGATAGACGTACTAGCAGTTATTATTATGGCGATATAAATCAGACTACTAAAGATAGAATTTTGATAAATAACTTCCATCAACACAATATGTTTCAAAATTGTATCTGTTTTATACTACATAACATCCAAATCTATCATAAATAAGCTATTGAAACTGGCTGTAAATTTGTAAATACATTAAGTAAATACTCACCGAAAAATATAAAGAATAACCAAATTATACCACGCATAACTGGCCCTCTAATGAATGTTAGGTTACTCTGCCAAGACCTCATTATATTTGAGGGAAAAGCAAATAAGTATTACAAAATTTAATTAACATTTACTGCTTTATTTAACGGGCTTGGGTTGGTAATTAGATTTCTTAAGGAGCACGTAATAAATTGCATAATAGCAACGGGTGATTTTCCTATAGTTTATTGTTTTTTTGGTTACCGCAAATCATGTAACCTTTATAACCCTGCATTACAATGCACAATGTTTTCACAATCTTGCATAAATTCATTCCATAAAAAATAATTTTTGGAAGATTTGGTCCAAAGGTAAGATATCTGTACTAATAATGTGTACATTTACAGAATTGACGCCTGAATTGAGTTTCCTAAAAGTATTAACTGGAATTAAAAAAAGGATAAGGGAAGTGGTTTTCAACAAGTGGTCTACTACCTATTTGACAAATAAAATCTTGTATCATTTAAAGCTAAACTTCAAAAGATTTATTTATTTTTACATCGTTTTATTTCTCTACTTCTAATGGCACTAGGCCAAAAGGAGGCCATCCAGGAGGCATTACTTCCTTAATCTTCTTGTAGTCTTCCTTTGCAGGCATATTAGATTTTAATGCCATTACCAATTTAACTGAAAGCAAATTGACTATTAAGCCGACTTTAGGCTACCTTCGATGTAAAATTAAAAAATAAAACTATAACACATTTATACAGTAACAATTTATTTCATATATTGTCACAAGTACAAAGCGAAACAAGACCGTCATTTGGGCCTTTGTTGACTATGTAAGGTGAAGTAGAAGTGACCGAAACTACAGAGTATAGTTAGTGCTTTGCAACCAATGAAAATTAAAAAACAACAAATTCAAAGTAAATGGAAGATGTGTTAAGGTCGTATTTGGAAGTCGACGGTATCCGGCCCTTAACAAGATATTATTTAACGGCGCCTTAAATGTATCTAAACATACCTACCTACGGTCGATGGTTACGAGGACCCATTAAAAAAATCCTGGTGATTCATAAAGTATCTTTGTGTGGATTTATGTAAAACTACATTTATTTTATTAATTCAATAAAATAAAACTAAATGTAGTTTTTTGTGTTTTTTATGGCATAAGCCGTTAAACGAGCAGACGGATCAACTGATGGTAAGCAATCGGCGTCGCCCATGGACACCTGGAACACCAGAGGCGTTACAAGTGCGTTACCGGCTTTTTGAGGATTAGGAGTTTCAGGATCGTTGGGGATTCAGGGATTGGGGTTTTTATTTTTATGAGATAAGCATGGACACCCTAAACACCAGAGGCGCTAGAAGTGCGTTACCAGCCTATTTTTGAGAATTTTTGGGGATTTGGGGATTCGGGGATTGGGGAGATTGGGGTGTGGGTTATTGGGCCTCCGGTAACCTCACTCCCTCGACGAAACATGTCAGTTTTCTGTGAGGCCGTGGTATCACTCCGGTTGAGCCTGCCCATTCGTGCCGAAGCATGGCTCTCCCACACTTATTTCGATATAATAGATCTGATCAATAAATCCGTGCGACTCATGTGACTGAGGTTACTTAAGTCCGCAAAAGGCAGGCAACGACAACTCCTCGAGCGTTGTGGATACGGGCGGTGCTGATTGCTTTCCATCAGGTGATTCATCTGCTTATTCACTCCCATATCCCGTAAAACGATGTTTAGTAAATAAGTAAATTGATAGTTATCATAGTGACTTCCATTAACAATCCTATATAGCAGTTAAATTATTTACATGTTAAAAAATGTCTTTCACGTATTTGTAAGTAATTACGTAAGGAATACTTTGCCCTCAAAGAGTCCTTTCGTCCAATGACTTTGGTGAGAAAACTATGTAGGTAATACTTATTTTTCTTACCAAACAAAAGTTGAAGGGCTGCCTAAATCTATATTGTTATAATTATTGTAATTGTTATTGTTATAATACTCCATGTCACCTTCGTTTTGGGAGGCGTCGCCTGTTACTCCTTGGCCGGTACAGGTACCATCATGTAGTATTTGAAGGTCTGGATCGTTAATTCTTGCCCATATAAGCTCACACATGTTAGCATAAGTATTACCATCGTTTCCACATAAAGGGCCTCTCTCGTCACAACTCGTCTGGTTGTTGGAAACCCATGTTACTTGCATTATTAATAAAATACTTGCTGAAATGTATTGAAGAATTATTGTGAATGTAAGTAAAAATTTAGAAAATTAATTATCCTTGTTTTAAGTCATAGAAGGCTACTCAAATGGTTATGGCATTTGCGGTCAGGACACAATAATGAAAATTTTCTGGTACTTTTCTGCTCCTTCAAAGCAAGTCTTTTCAAGTCAATATATAAAAAAACATCATTTCACTTACCAACGATTATTATCATTTTACCGGAGCAAACCGCAACAATAGAATGATTGCTCAAGTAAAATAAAGATCTCTGTGAAAGTAATTATTCACAGTTTGTAGCAAATAAATCAATTTGTTCGGCTATTAGTTGCAATTATATATTAATTAACGGAGCATGACATTGCCCATTACCGCACTAACTTGAGTTATGAACCGACTGAGAAACTCCTAATTGATACTGTTTACAAACTATGGTAATGGTGTGTTTATAATTCCATGGAATGTTATACAAAGGTAAATTTCAACAACCTTCCTTTCTACCTAATACCTATTAGACATAGGATTTTGAATTGAATGGCGCTTGATATGTAATCGAAAATCCCCCAGTGCCTAAAGACCATGATGTTTAAATCAGTGTGTGTTGCCAGTGATGAAGTATGGTAACGAGACGTAGTCCCTGATTTCTGGCCTTCTAGAGAAGCTCAAAGTCGCTCAGCGCGCGATGGAGAGAGAGCTATGCTCGGGGTTTCTTTGCGCGATAAAATCCGAAATATAGAAATTCGCCAAAGAACTAGAGTTACCGATATAACTCGCAAAATCTGCAGACTGAAGTGGCAATGGGCAGGCCACGTTGATGCATGGACTGATGACCGATGGGCCAGCAAACTTCTTGAGTGGAGCCGACGGGCCGTAAAACGAAGGAAATGGTTTAAATATCAGAATTTATCATTGAACAAACTTCTAATACACATTGCATCTTTATCCGAATGTAGATTAGATTATCTTAAATATTTCTTTTCATTATATCCACCCAAAGGTTGTCTGGTAGAAATCGCTGTAAGTGATAAGACCGCCTTAGTGCCCATTATTATTTTTATTTATATTTGTCATTTCCTTTTCTGTATGTACTGTATTATTAATGGTGTACAATAAAGTTATATTCTATTATTTAATCATTATTCAAAAACTACATAGTTACCTTAGAAGTACCAATCTAACTAATAGCTAGTTTGTACGTGGCTATAAAGAGAATGCATTATTAAAGGTGGAGAGATAATAGCTGTTCTTCATGTCTCAAGTCTCAATAAATCATATAAATGTACCGTTGATTGATCTGATAAATCAATGAATAGTATATTATGTACTCGAACACATATTTGTTCTTGACCAAGATCATTGTAACGCCAGTATAATCAATATTGATTTGACACTTTAAATTGCCGTGGTAATATTTTAATGATTGTGAATTGTGATGATTTCGCAGTCAAATAGGAATTGGTGCCTATTGACTTGAACTTATTTGAATGGAATGGTATAAAAACATTGCCAATCTTGAATTAAATTCATATTCATTACTATCCAATGAATTGTTTCCTTGCAACTTCCTTTGTCAAAATACGTCGCAATATAAAATTTCTAACAAAAACTGTAACACCAAATGGCATAAAAGTAACATGATATCACTATTTATTTATCGTCAAAATATAACGTAGCAGGCGACAGGTTAATCCTTAAACAACAGCCGGCGTCATGTGGCAACGTATAGTATTCCTTTAAACGGAACGAAGCCGTACCTATAACCCTCGCGTGCGCACGCCGGGTACATAAACGCCCAGCCGGTGTCGCAACTTGACTCAGTTTATTCGTATATTCCCATGTTACTCAATCACGACTTAGGAGGGCACGGATGGTAAAATTTGCACAACAGAAGCCGATCACATAAACGATTCATCATGATCATGACTTGATGAATCGCTAGCCAATGTAAAGTAAAATATTGCATGTCTTACTCAATCACCGAACGGTTTTCGACAAATTTCAACGCCCATTATTTCCGTGCTCATCATAATTATTCATTAGAAATTGTATGTTTTTTATTAACCTGATAAATTTCATGTTATATCTCATGACATACTAATTTTGATCTTCAGTAAATGTAATAGAGTGTAATATAAGATACTGAATATACATCATACAGTTATGTGCAAATAACATCAATAAACTAAATTACTTAAGAATTATTAGGAAAATAAAAAGAAGTTTATCAAAGAATATTTTATTAACAAAATAATTGTACAATGGTTAAAAATGTATTATTAAAAATTCTATGACCAGTCATATCATTGTGGTGCTTGAGTACTGTTCCTTGATTCAAGGAATCCTTTTGGATCATGATACCCTGAAGAGAAATGGACATTATATGTATAATATCAGTTGCCGATGTACCAAGTTATCTTCAAGTTCCATGAAGCTCTGATTCAGGTTTTACAAAAATATAAAAGGCTTGTGTATGGATTAGGTGCATGCAACATTAATTATTAAGTAATTACTTAATATTAATCTTAAATTTTAAGACTAAAGTTATTAGTTTTTCAATTAGATTACAGCTAGATACTATTTTACATGAATATAATTCACATAGTAACTATTATTTACTCAGATTTATTGAGCATAAATCTTTTTAACCACTCTCATTTTTACACAGGTACCTTCAGCTTATTAACTCAAAAAATACAAGTAGCACATTCTATTCAACTGTTTAAAAAATAATTTACATAATATGCGTGTTAAAAAACCCTTTAAAAATAAAGAATAAAATTATGTTTTACATTTTTACATAGTTTATTAATTATTGGCTTTACAGGTTTTGTGAATTTTATTAGTTGACGTGTCATAATATTAGTATGAAAAAATATGGAAACAAAATGGTACCGAGTTAGGTATAGCACATACCTTTTTTATTCATTTCACATGATTGTAATAGTTATTATTCAATGTATTAATTTTTTCATCACTTTTACCAAGATCATCGTCGAGCGGTGACATACATTGGCCGACATGAAGCGCTTTGAGGTCAGGATTATCCTTCTGACCATGTTCAAACAAGCAAAAGTTTGTATATGTTATCATATCTGTACCACATATCGGTTCCCATTGCTCGTTGCAGTAATTATTACAAGGTTTTAGAAGGGCGACGTCCAGTCTGTTGTTCAGTAGTCTTGCGGATTCTAAATCACACATCGACGGATAAGTGACACCATCTGTGCCACAAACTGGTCCAATTATTTGATAGCTGACAGGGCAGAATGAAGCAGAAACATACTTGTTCATGGTGAGTATGCACGCGATCGAAACTGGAATAGAAAATATTTATGTTTAAACAGACCGTGGATAGCGAACATAGGGTTAATATTTGACGACTGACGATTTTGCTGACGAAATACGTGTCGCGGTATCACGCAATCGATTAATTGAGGGTCAAGTATTGCTTCGATAATCGCACGACTGCACGTTCAACACTATATTACTTCTCTACACTAGGTATAAAACTAAAAAATGTACACTCACTTATATTTTGGTAAATCTGAGGAACGGTACCAAATGTCATAGTGGAAGTCATGACAGGAATGCAAACGATTTGGAAAATTATGTCGTACTTATAGATTTGCAATAAATAGACGATGTTTATTTTCGTATTCAATATCTACTTTTGTATTTCACATTTTTGAAAAGAAACAATGCGTACAATTGTAAAAAATATGATATAATGACTTGTATTCACCATTCTTCCAAACATCCAATTGAATTTAGTTTTCTGTAGACTAATCTCACCTACGTACACATTTTATGAAAAGTGAATTTACCCCGATTGATTCTAATCTACAAGAAATATCATCACATCGTCTCTTGGAGAAAATAACGCCTAAAATAATTTCTTATTTTATATAGATAACAACATATATATAAGGTTTTTAAATACACAATATAATAAAATTAAATGAATTGAAATAAAGATGGTATCTGATTTAAAAAATTATATAACGCGTTAAGAAATCATAAAAATAAAAGTAAAATCAGTGAAAAAAGCATTTGAAAATGTGTAAAGTGCCTGGTAGTATTTTGAACTGTCATCGTACTTAATAGATGGCGTTGTATTGGCCAGTTCAATGGCGCTATGACTTCCAAAACAAAGAATAAGGACAACTCAGGTAACTACTATTGTTTTTATTTATTAATGAATACTCATATTTCAGCACAAAAATGTAGACTTACTAAATTAATCTTTGAACCAGACATAAAACAGATAAAAAAAGGTAAGGGAATACGTGTTCTATATTCAAAACTTTAATATTGATTTACATGTGGTATGCATCAGCGATTCTTCGGTCCTAAGTTTTAAACGTTTGCAAAAATAGAATACCTAATTTAATTTCAGTGTTATAAGTGTTAGTCGACGCGTAAGAAAAATGATACCTAAATTGATAAATTTTTCGTATCATTTTATATTTCACGTGATGTAAACAGTATAATGACACACAGACATTATTATCATATTTCGAAGTATATTTTGATCAATCGGCTTCTGTTTGTTATATCCGATACTTCCTAGTCAAATATTGTATAAATATCACCAAGATTATTTTATTAGAAAATGTCAATATCAATATCATTAGATTAACATTTATTTCCTTATTAATATGTATTTGAGATAATATAATAAGACTGAAATGTTTGTTCTTGTTCTGTTTGTTTGTCCTTCTTCTGTTGGATATGTTCCTATTAAATCGCTGAAAATAAACATTGGAAATATTTATCCCAAACTCTACGTAATTATACACAATTTAAGATGTCGACAAAATAGTTAAAGTCAAAATTCTAACTTTAATTCTATTTAACATGTTAAACACCAAAAGGGGCATAGGTACGAGCCCAAACAATTTTGTTCCAACAATCAAACGCTTAACTCAAGTCTAAAAAACCAATTATCTTCCACAACAATCTGTTCATAACGTTTTCACCTCGTAAACAGATAAAATAGACAAGCAAAACCATTCATAAATTTAATATGTCCCTACTATTTATTTACCAGTTCACCTATCACGATTGTTCGGGTTTTCTAACGGGGTGCGCTCAGTTGGAGGCAAAGTACTCTAATATTATAGCGATCATTTATTACACTGGGTGTAAAATGTCCGATTACGATTTGTGGACTGTCTTGTGATTTAGATAATTATGTTCTTGATAAGATATCATAAGAGAATTAATAATAGGATATTAGACTTATAATCTGGCTTTACTTAAAACTAGCTTTCCGATTGTGTAGTATTTTGAATTTATTTCTCGATTACCAGCTTTGTATCACTGCTTTTTCGGACGTCATCATATTTCTGCGTGA